CTGCTCATGGCAGGGGGGTTGGAACCAGATGATCTCTAAGGTCCCTTCCAACCCAAACCATTCTATGATTCTATGATTCTATATTCCCAGTTTGTGGGTGGGACAGCAAGAAGGAAAACCTGCAGGTTTACTGGTCTGAACTGGGATAGGCTTGAAGTTGGGAGAAAAAACACCCTTGAGAACAATATGGCTGATTTAAAAAGGGATTTTCTGAGCAGGATTTGGCATTCTTTGCTCCCAGAAAGGTGTTGCTATTCATTACTAACATCTCAAACCTTTTCCAAGAAGAAAATGTGGCTTTCTGCCGAGCTTAGAACCACCTCGTAGCAGAGGCTGGGGGAAAAGCAGCGGCCAGAGCTTCACCGAATAAAAAGCCGGTTAAATAGCTGCGTTTCAAGCTGCTGACATCGTCCTAAGCATAAATCACGCGTAGCATCCGGAGCGGGAGCGTGTCGATCCTCCCCGCGAGTACAGACCTGGCGATGGATCGGCTCGTAGCTGATCTGTTCAGGCAGCCGGACGGAGAGAAGCCAGGACTGGGCGTGCCGTGCAACCTCGCTGTTGGAAACAGAGAAAAAAACCATAATTTGCTCAGAATCGTAACATTTTGCAGGGATTCACACGGCCCTCAGTATCGTCGGTCCAGAAAAATGGTCAAAAAGGCTGGAACCCCTCTGCTGGGAGGAAAGGCTGGGAGAGTTGGGGCTGTTCAGCCTGGAGAAGAGAAGGCTGACAAACTTTTTAGCAGGGCCTGTAGCGACAGGAGAAGGGGTGATGGTTTTAAACTGAAAGATGTGAGGTTCCAACTGGATCTAAGGAAGAAATTTTTTACCGTCACAGTGGTGAGGCACTGGCCCAGGTTGTCCGCAGAGCTGGGAGATCACAGAATCACAGAATCACAGAATACTAAGGGTTGGAAGGGACCTCTGTGGGTCATCTAGTCCAACCCCCCTGTCAAAGCAGGGTCACCTACAGCAGGCTGCACAGGACCACATCCAGGTGGGTCTTCAGATCTCCAGAGGAGACTCCACAGCCTCCCTGGGCAGCCTGTTCCAGTGCTCACAGAATCACAGAATGGTAGGAGTTGGAAGGGACCTCTGTGGGTCACCCAGTCCAACCCCCTGCTGAAGCAGGGTCACCCACAGCAGGCTGCACAGCACCTTGTCCAGGCGCGTCTTGAATATCTCCAGAGAAAGAGACTCCACAACCTCCCTGGGCAGCCTGTTCCAAGGCTCCATCACCCTCAGAGGGAAGAAGTTCTTCCTCGTCTTCAGATGGAGCTTCCTCTGCTTCAGTTTGTGCCCGTTGCCCCTTGTCCTGTCACTGGGCACCACTGAGAAGAGTCTGGCCCCCTCCTCTTGATACCCACCCTTAAGATTTTTATAGGCATTCATAAGATCACCTCTCAGCCTTCTCCAGGCTGAACAAGCCCAGTTCCCTCAGCCTCTCCTTGTAGGAGAGATGTTCCAGTCCCCTCACCATCCTCGTAGCCCTCCGCTGGACCTTCATTGTCAGGTTGGACGGGGCTCTGAGCAACCTGATCCAGTTGAAGATGTCCCTGCTCACGGCAGGACGGTTGGGCTAGATGGCCTTCAAAGGTCTCTTCCAACCTAAACCATTCTGTTATTCCACGTCTTTATTGCTTAACCCAAAGCAGGCAGCTCCCACAGCCCGGATAGGTGAGAATGCTCTTCACAGATCTCCACATCGCCGGCACCTCCGGAGCGGCCACGGCAAAAGGGCTCCTTGCCATCTCCAAACACAGCAGGGACCTTTGCCCTCGGCAACTGAATGTGCCAGAACAACCCCCTCCAGGCAACTCATCAAGAGAAGGCTGCGAGGGGACCTTATAAATGCCTACAAATATCTGAAGGGTGGGTGTCAGGAGGATGGGGCCAAGCCCTTTTCAGTGGTGCCCAGCAACAGGACAAGGGGCAATGGGACAGAGGTCCCTTCCAACCCCTACCATTCTGTGATTCTGTGATTCTGTGATTCTGTGATTTGCACAGTTCAGCAAATTTCCACGCTTGGCTTGGCCGCTCCCCGCAGCCGGCCGGGGAAGCCCAGCGCCTGCCTCCGATACACGCAAGCGCGTAATTAAATTGTCCTCGACCGGCGTAGGAAAGAATGAATCGAAAATAAAGGCTGCATCTCAGCTTTCCAGGTGGTACGTGAGCGGCTCAGTCACTCACCTGCCAGCCCGGGCGTGTTGGGGAGTGAGCGAGCGGAATTTGATAGCGCGGCACCGCGCTCTCCCCGCGCGCGAGCTGTCACTCGGGCTGCCGGCGTCGGCGAAGCCCCATCTGTTCCCTCTGCAAATCAAAAGCGGTCGGTGCAGGCGCGATGCCGGCACGGGCGGCACATGCCTGTCCATCACAGGCATCGAGCAAAGGCTCTGTACAACCCACCGGCGAGCGCGTTCGAGCTTGCCGCACGCCCATCGAGTATCAACCAGGCATTTGAGCCACCGCTGAGGGTTCTTCTTCTTTTCTTTCTTTTTCTGGCTTCCTTCCTCATCACAGAGCCGCCTCGTTGGAGATGCCTCCATCACAGAGACGCCTCGCAGCGTCTTTTCAACTCTTTATCAGCACTAAAATCAACGCACATCAACTTCGGGTTGCTCCGAAGATGCCGCAGAGCGTCTCTTGGCGAGGCCGGGGGTTAAGAGGCCAGCGCGCTCCAGCCAAGGTTGACCTCCCCACTGACGCAGGGAGAAAGACCCAAATTAAAGTCCGACCATTAGGGTAGGGATAGAACATCCCTCAGCCCTTCGCAATTATGTTTAATGCTCCTTCAAGCCAGCTCAGCAGGACGGGCTATACCAGGAGCCGGCTCCCCAGGGCAGCAGACAAGCTCTCTAAATATTTAATACTCGGGCATAAAAGCAGACTCTCGGGGTTGAGCACGTTCCCATGCTTGTGTGCCATCCTTTTAGTTAAACCAGCCTGATAACCACATCTTAGCCAGAAAGGAGGAATCACGAAAGAAATAAATAGATAAGTAAATAAATAAAAGGTGCAACGGCCTCACGCTGCTGATTTTTAATTTCTATATGGCAAAAATGCACCCATGTCATAATGACTGGGGGCTTTTTTGCCCAGCTTCTATCTTCTGTCAAGAAGTCACGCTATTATACGGGGACAGGCGACGCGCATCTCCCATTACCGGCTCTTGCCGTGAATTAACTCGCAGCCTGGAGGCAGTTTACCCGCTCGAGAGCCGGTCCCATCCATGGCAAAATCCGGGCGCTGCATCCATCCAGCGTGCCGACCAGGTCTGGGAAAGCATCACACTGGTAGCAGGTGAAGCAACCCTGCATCCACGCTTTCCCATCGCCAAATTCCTCACCCCGCGCGCAAATCCTCTCCGGACTACTAGAAAACCACCTCAATATTTCCCCAGGAGGAGACAGCCCAGCGGCTCCGTAACGCTGCCCGTTAAGAAGCTCCGTAATTACACATTTCACCATCGATTGGGATTTACGGAGGAAACTCAGGCTCCGGCACGATGGGATTTTTAGAAGCTTTTGCATCGTGCAAGAAGAAGTTTAAATACAAGCAAGGCTCTGCGAGCATCAAAGCAGCAAGGGAGGAGATGCGGGAGAGCGGGTTTGGTATCTCAGACCTTTAAGGGGGTCTCAAGGAGCCCAAGTTTTGATTTTTAGAGTGGTTACTGACTTGGGATGGCGGGTTAGAGCCATTAATATTTCATTATATATTATATATTTTATATATTCAGGGTGTATCTGTATTGTTCAAGTAACTGACACAGTGCAAAACCAGGGCTGAGCAAGACACCGGAGAACCGTATAAGGCTTAAAATAAAAAATAAGGAGCTGAAATTTGCTGCTGTCTGGACTGAATTAAAGCCAAAAGGATGCCCCCAGGGCTCTCTGCAAGTCTCTTTTGGTCCAGATACAACAGAGATTTATTTTGCAGGACAGATGCCAGTCCCATATCTGGGTTGTTTTTCTCCGCCGTTGCTCCCCGCTGGGCAGAGCATCAGCGTCGGGACGCGGCGGTGCCGTCGGATCGGGAGAGCGACTCGCCCGTATCCCGTCTCACCCTTTCCTCCGTATCGCAAAAAAGTCCCTCGCCACAGAGATTTCAATAAGCGGCACGGCGCGTTCCTCCCCTGCGCACGCTCAAAGGCAGCGGGAACAGGGGGAGGGAGACAAAAAAAGGAAGGAAAAAAATAAAAGCTGCTGGGGAGAGCATCCAGAACTGCACATTAAGGGCTTTTTAAGCGATTACACACAGCACAGCGGCGTCAGGCTTGATATTTTATACCCTGCGTAAGGGACAGGTGGTTTTCTCTTTTTTTCTTTCTTTTCCCCCCTTTCTTAATGATTTAGTCGCTTGGAAGCTCATCATCTGTAAGGAAACCCGCAGCCCGTGCAGACGGGGTTGTTTCTCTTCATGCATCATCCCCAAGACGACACCGGCTGGCTCCCCGGCATCCC